ACCAAAAGTGATGCCCGTCAAAGATTAAGTTAATGTTGGTAACTGATTTATGTAAATTTAAAATTCTGAAGTTAGCTTTAGACTAAGAGTACAAGAAACATTTTTAAAGCATGTGAACTATGACAACTTTTAATTTCGCGGCCAATGTGTAGGCATTTAGATGATACAAACCAGATAAATAAAATTTAAAATGGTTATTTCATAGCTGCTTCCGGTAGAATTAGTCACAGTAAAAGCAAAAAATTAATGACTGCCCAGTCAGAGTAATCTTCAACGTTTTGAGTAAATTAAAATTTGATGCAAATAAGTTCTAGTTCTGTAACAAAACCTTAAGTATTTTGCAAAACAACAAAGTCAAACCATTTGGCACGTAGCAATTAAAGCTTATTTAAATTGTGTTTAAGAATTACAAAATTTAAAGTACTTTAAATGATTCCAAGTTTTTCGGACACACAATTGACCAGGTCCGTTTGCAATGTTCCAACGCCCAATTTAAAGGTACAAAATTACATTTAAAATGTTTGTTAACACTCTTAGTCATTCAATCTATTTGGTAGTTGCTTAGAATCTAGCATTATGAATGAATTAAATTGTTACTCGTTAGACCACATTTGACAATGTGTTTTAAGACATAGTTCTCCTTTGCAGACTTCGTTAATGGTACCATCTTGGGCGACCTTGGTCGTATCAATTTCTTGTGTTTTGTTTGTGCATTTTTGTCTTGTGGTGTGTCAACATATGCTTGCATTCCTACCGTCAGTCGGTACACTTTATAGCATATTCATGCTAAGCACTAGAATTTACAGGAGGTAGAGCTAATCGTAGTTGGATTTAAGCAAATGCAGCAAGGTCTCGATGTTACCACATTTATAACTCACGACGTATCAAATTTCTGTCTTATAAATGCACACTCGCAACCGCCACAAACGACACCACCTTGGCTAAGCTCTCCTGTAAACAGGTGCATCCACATCCCCTCCAGTCTTGTTCGAAATCGCGTGTAGAAAATATTTCAGGTTTTTTTTTGGGAATAAACAGAGGTCGGCTAGACGCCTAGTTCTTAAAAAAAGAAATATCCTGAAACATTGGTATTGTTTTAGTGCCTACTACTGCGTTTTTGTCCTCTCATGAAATGCCATTTTGATGTCAATCAATATATGACTACAAGATACAGGATTATTGGCTGTGAATTGTTAAAGCACAGTAATAAAATTCACACTATATACGAAATCCATTCAAGGGTTAATGCCGCCAAATCAAAAAAAGGTACCTAAAATAATAAGTAAGGCAAAACATACAGAGTTCATGACAGAAAACTATTACTTTGGGAACTTAAAAAAATTTATGCTCGTATAAAAACTACACAATTTTTTTTACTGAATTGGGGACATAAACGAGGCGAGTGCACGTTTTAATAGCTAGTTTCCTCTCTCCAATTTTTTTAGTTGACGGTTTAGAACACATTCAAATGTATTGATAAACACTTGGTGACATGAGAATCACAAAAATAAATGCATTAAAATAACTTGGTTGAAATATCGTTTAAACGTTCTCTAACTAGTCGATTCAAAGCCTTGATATCTATGTGTTTGTAATTTCCTTTTAACCACAAATCGGAACAGCGCAAACATTTAAATACTATTCCATCCCGTAGAATTAAACGGGAAATGTTAAAAATAAGAAATGCGTTACTTTCCGATACAAATCTCTTTCTCCAATCTGAGCTTAAACTCAAACTGATTAAAATTTTAACATTATTTCTACCATTTTTATGTTATTTCTTAGATTTAATTCATGAAGTAATGCACCATATTATGGAGCAAATCGACCAAGTTTCAATTATAGATAAACTGTTCTAATAAACCAGGATCATTAACCTTTAAAGTTATGAATATAAGAAGACGGGTGCAGGTAAAAAATGTATAACGTCCGCACACTACAAGTGACCAACGGAAATAATTGTTAACCGAGAAAAATGATGACAGTCAAAGTGGAAGTTAGTGTTGGCAGCCAAAACGTGTAACTTTAAAATTCCGGAGCTAGCATTAAATTAAAAGCACAAAAAGCATCTTAAAGCGCGTAACCTATGTCAACTCGTAACCTTGCTGTCAGTGTAAACACTTAAATGGTACAAACAAAATTGAAAAATCTAGAAGTGTGTTTTATAGCTCCTTCTACTAGGATTAGTCGCAGTAAGAGCAGGAACTTAATGACTGGCCAATCGGAATAATCTTCTACGTTTTAAGAAAAGTGAGGTTTGATGCGAATCACTTCTAGCTCGATAAAGATATCTAAGAAAACTTGCAAAAGGACCAAATAAAAAAAGTTGGAACATTGCAGGAAGTACAGTGCTCTAAATGCTTAATGTTTACCAGACAGACGGTAAACCAGGTTTTTGTTACGATCTGGCTCCTAAAAATACCATTTGCTACCTAAAGGTAAAAAATTTAATATTAAAAATATTTGGTAACACTCTCATTATTTTGATTTATTAGTTGCCGATATAAATCTAGCATTATAAAAATCGTATTGTTACTAATTAAACTACAGTTGAGAATGTTTAACATAAACCTTTCCTTTTTAGACTTTGTAAGATTGATAGTGGCACCAAAGTGAGTGACCTTGGTCGTTTTAACCTCTTGTGTTTTGTCTGTGCTTTTTGGTCTCGGGGTGTGTGTTAACATATATTTTTATTCCTACCATCTGTCTATACACTCTATAATATATTCATGCTAAACCTTGAATTTAGAAGAGGTAGAGTTAATCGTAACTGAATTTAACAAGTGCAGCATTTGACATGGCGTAGGGGAACGTTTGTTCTCTTAATGTACCTTTCAGACATGGAGCCTTCGATGGTATCACGCAAGACACGTGTTACAAGGAAGCCTATGATAGCAGTTAGTACCATTCATTGCCTTTTTATAGAAATCCAAACTTTAGCCATTGCTGCTTGTCAACTTAGCGTTAAGCCTCTAATGAAAATTACGGATTGAGTAGGGTTGTTACAAATTAGGAGCTTGTCTACATGTTCGCATTCGTGCTTTTATGTTACTCCTCTACCTTATTATATGTTTAGTTATGGTGTTTCGTAATCAATGCGGGAAGACAAAGACAAAAGTGATGAAGCCGATAAAATTCCCAACGGGTTTTTCGAATTCATTCCGGAAGATGGATCAACAGTGGACTTAACGCAACCCGGCTTGCTTTCTCGCCGACAACTTGTGTCAATTTTTAGGCGAAGAGGTTTTGCTTCACTCGTAAGTCTTTTTATTTCAGGTTATGGTTTATGTCTTACCACATACCAGCACAAAACTGGCTATCTTTTTTATTTTTTGCTTTTCTTTTCAATTTTTGAAATCTTAGGTCGAATTTAGAAATGAAAACCCAACTTTTAAACGTAATTTGAGCAAGACCGTTGTCGGATATCGAATTGTGCTGCATAATCAGTCAACAATCAATACGAATAGTTAATGAATGGTTCAGACGTTAAAAAATGTGAACAGCAGTGATCACTAAAGTCACTGAACCATTAAAAAGCTTTGTGCCCTACCTCGTTTGTTCTTTTTCGTGTCACAAACTTTTCTGTGTTATTTTGCCTGAATATTTTCATGGGTAATTTATAGCCCTGAAAACCGTGCTCGCGTAATCGAATAATCCCTTCAGCTGCTTCGTTTTTGTCAGGTTTTTTAATAACTTATATCTCTTTAAAAGTAATACAAGCACTGGTGTGGAAGTAAACCAATTTTAAAATGCTCAATTTTTAGATGAATTCCACTTATCCATGTTGCGCTGCATGGTACGTTCCCATGTTATAAGTTAGTTCTGAAGTGGTTTAATTTTTCTACGATTGAATTGTTTGCATTCATTGTGCATTTGGTAATTTTTATCATACGAACGAGAACTAGGCATTGTATAGCATTCCAAAGCTGTACACCACCTTAAATTCCGACTTGGTTGCTCTCCCGATTCTGGTGTTTTCAGTGAGTCTCGTTTGCGTATCTTTTGGACTGAGGTGAATAAAGTAGATGACTGGTGGACGCGTTTTTGCTTTAAATAAAATCCTCCTTTATTACTGCACAGCTATGCAGACGCACGAACTGGTGTGGTTTTCTCCCAAACACGCATCAAGTTATTTTGGAAGTCGGTCCCAGTATTTCAGTTTACGTGTTGGCTGCTATTGAGGAAACGAACTACGCGTGGTCACTTGAACTTAGCATCAATTGTCACCGCTAAGTTCATGTATTTAATAGTGCGCACTTTGTGCGTGAATGCACCGTGTTAGTAGCCATCTAAACGTACTTAGCAAAACGTAGCCATCTTTTGTTTCGAGGCATCACTTTATTGACACGACGAAAGCTACTTTTGACTGTCGATGTGTGGACCTAACCTTTCTTTGCTGTGCTTCAATTCTTGCGTGCTCTGCCCACATTTGATGGGCCTTTCTTGGTGGGTCTGTCTGCTGCGTGGTGTTGATGGTGCCAGTGTTACCTGTCCATCAGCAAATGGCGTCTAACGCCTGTCGCGCTTTTTAGCGATAGGCAGGTGAAGTCACTTTCAGATGTGCAAAATCCAGTGCTTTGAGTGCCTTAACGATCCCACTTTTTGCAGTTGAAGACAGCTCCGGACACGCCCTCGCTGGTTGCGGCCTATTTTGCCCACATCCTGCCTCTCCCAGCGCGGAATTCTGCAGAGGAGAAGAGTTCGCAAGAGGCCCCTCCAGCGTCCACCGTCTCCGAACCCTCCCCAACTCGGGTAGTCACGAGGAGACTGGAGAACGGTCCCACACGTCGTCGTCCTCCTCCTCTCCCTCCGTCAAAGGACCTCGACAGCATCGTGATTATCAGCAACCCTAATTGGCCCACTAGCGGCCAGAACGCAGCAGTCGACGAAGCTACCAGAAAACGAACTGCTTCCACCGATCCCCAACCCCAGTCACCTCTAAAACGACCCAAACTAAAGCGCGATTTTGTTAACTTGCCAATAAAGTAAGCTCCGCACAAACGAGTAGTTTAAATTGGCGGTAACTCTCTTTAGCCATAAAACAGGATTTTGGTGCCACCTCGAAAGCAGGATGGCGGGCAACAACTCGAATATGCCGCTTAGGGAACACATTCAAAGACACAATAGCCGTTTAAGTAATGTTTTAATGGAGCATTTTGACAATCAGGACTGAGCCGAGGGCACATTGAAGATTCTCTGCTCAATGTCTTCGTAATCGGGGTCGAAGGTGTGCAGTCTAACGTAACCGTCTTCCCCACCAGTGGCGAATCTAAAACATCAAAGCAACGGACATTATTGCGCCGAAAACGCGTAGCTAGCTATACCGAACCTGGATCTATCACTAGGGTTTGAAAAATAGCCGAGTCGAGGACCTGGGTGGCAAAATACCAAGCTTAGGCTCAGGATTAATGTCTCTAACAGCTGAGGATGGGTAAATGTCTACAAAAAGGAGACTTGATATATAACTTTGTGCTAAGTTAGCTAATAGAAAGATGGACGATTGAATGTCCTGTAAAAACAAGCAGGATTTACAAAAGTATCGTTTAAAGCGAATCGGAAGCAGGGACTCACCCACTCCCGTCGGGATTGAACGCGACACTATTAATCGGACCGAAGTGTCCTTTCACACGACCGAACTCCTCTGCGTAGATCATGTGGTAGAATCGGGCGTCGAACTTGCCGGATTGCGTGGCAGTCATTGTCACGTCGCGAGCCTCTTGACCACCGCCAAGCATAATCTGAAGAAGTTAGAAAGCAATGCATACCATTCCACAGCTTGGGATCGTTGCAAAGAGACCACAGCCGCAAAAGAACCACCTAAATCTACAGCAAGTAACTTTAACCTTGGAAAACGTTTATAAGAGACCGCGCATAAAATCCACAATAAAGAAAAACAGCTAAATTCATCTCCCACACACGCAACATTATATCTTGGGCCAAAAGCACACATATCAACATCTACTACAAGTTAAAACGTTGCGACATTTCCAAAAAAGAACATTTTTAGTGGTAAATATCTCTAAATTCTAGTGATAAGTAAAATGGATTTTAAATATCACTACATTCGTTAACCAACAAAATGCTTTACCGCTAGTGGCAGCAGAAATGCATAATTTAAAGAAAAACAAACAAGCATACTGACATGAGGTCGGTTGGGAGAGATGGAGGCAGAGTTGACAGGTCTTTCGGCAGTGTATGTACGGATGCAATCCATTGCATAAATGCCATGAAGCTGTGCAAAAAGTAAACAAATAAGAATCATAAATGTAACAAAAAAAACACATAAGCAACACCACGCACTTTTGCGGTGTGATCCTTAGAGGAACTAATAAACATTGTCCGATCGACGTGCGCTTGAAGATCGGTGATAATACTGGCGTGGGCTTTAGTAGACATGGAAATTTCGCCAGTGCGCGCGTCAATCATGTTGAGTTCTCCCTGTTCAGTACCAGCGATTATGGTGTCTTCGAGGTCTCCCCAAATAGCTGCGGTTATACGACCCTTGGGTGCACATCCATTGGCTAGACAAACAAACTTGTTTCCGGCCATCTACAAATATTTAGGGGTTTGAAGAACCTACGTGACTTTTGTCGCGAGTATCTACTACACGAATTTCGGATGGATTCTGTTTAAAAATATCAGTAGCAAAAAAGACAAGGTTCCCAGAGTAGGAAATTCCACACGCTCTTATAGAAGACTCGGTAGTAATACAATTCAGTTCCTTGCCTAAAATCAGATAAAAAGAAGAGAGAAATGGTACCGTTTGAAACATCCCACAGCCTTAAGGTAGCATCACCAGACCCCGAAACCAAGCGGGTTGATGTCCAATCCACGTCCAAACACCAAATAACACCAATATGACCATTAAAGGTGCCAAGACGTTCCCCGTTCTGGCTAAACCATACACTTGGTGTGGGATTTTTGCCAGCAGTAAATATCAAATCGCCCTCCCTATTGTAGAGGACCTGAGTAACAGCACGTTCGTGTCCTCGAAGGCAAATCGGTCTCTACAAAAGCCAATAAAACAAATGCGAGACAAACCATTCGGTGGCAGTTGCAAAAAGAGCCACGCGAACAAACCAGTAAAACAAAACTTTTTTTATGTGTAAATATAATAATAATTTGCCATTTTAAATAGAAATTAATGCAAAATTAAATTTAATTGGCAAATATATAGAGGGACAATTAGATTACTAATAGTATCTTTGAGCAGTCTCTTGATTGGAGGACTCATGTTGGGAGATGGTGCGCCAGGATGCGGGGCTTTGTAGCATATTTGACATGCTGCACCATATAGAATCTATCACATGTATTGGACTAATAATTTGTGAATGTTTCGCTTCGTCAGATAACCATGCTGTCTATGTCAAAACGACAGATGGTACATTACGTGGTTTTTCATCGACAGTTTTGCGTAAACCTATTTTGACATTTCTCGGAGTACCGTTCGCTACCCCTCCAATTGCCGACTTGAGGTTTCGACCACCAGTTCCCATTAAACCATGGAAAGGAATCAAGGATGCTACACGTCCCGCTCCTACGTGCACTCAACCACTGCCAGAGAAATGTAAGGATTTAAAATTTATTCAAGTAAAATTTTATATCCTACTTAATGAACCCTTGTAGTTTTCCAATTGGTAAAAAACCCACAGAAGTTTATAATGGATACTCTTAAAATAAATAATTTAATTCCGTAAAAAACACAAGTATAATATCATGGATAATTACCTAAACGTATATAGTTGGTTTTTATCTTTCTTATAATTTTTATTTTAAATATTATTAACTCCTACGGGTTTATATTGAATGTATTGCATCAAGTTGGCCTTATTGACCAATTCGTGTGTTTTTTTCCAATTGTTCGCATTTATTTTTATTGAAAACAGATACTGGGGGGTATTTTAATGGGTCAAACTCTTATCTGATTGGACGATTCGGTCGGTCTCTGTGTGGCTATAGGCAACTGCAAGTTACTGCATCCACTGATTATGTTTCCTACCATATGCCGCAATGTCAACAAAATAAGAATGCTGTCCAATATACACATTTTAATATTACCGCCTAGAGTATGAGGAAAATTCATTATTTCCATATTTGTACATATAAGAATACTGTCCCTCCTTAGTTTTCCCGGATTTTTTTAACAATTTGGTCAACTTCTTGCCAAAAATATCAGTTTATTGCTTTTTAAGCTGTTTCTTTTAGCAAAATTGGAAATAATTGCTAGTTCTTATAAAATCTAGTTGGATTACGTATTGCTTGAACATCACTTATGACATGAATTTCTTATCTGCATGTAATACTTGGTTCTTATAGCTAGTTTTAACCGCTTTAAAATCAGTGGTTCACCACACCTTAAAGCTTGCTTTACGACTTCGACCCAAAACATATTTAAAAAGTGTGCATTTTAATGCGTCACAAATCATATTCTTGAAAAACTAAGAAAATGTTTTAACATTTGCCATAACTTTGAAGTTTCCTTCTGCCCCTGTCCAAATTGTCGTGCCTACCGGAGACCTAACATTCACATAAACTCAATCTAACCAATCACGTGCAGTCTGGGGCGCGTGGCGTGCGCACGTGCTACCACTACGGAGAGATTCATCTTTGCTAAAGGCCAAACTCATGCGAGGAGATCAATGTTGCCGCAAATGCTTTTGCTCGAGCAAGCGCGTACGTAAGAAAGACAAGAGAATTGGCCTAGTATCTGTCCAAGGAACAAAATCCACTAATTCTCTTTGAGCATTTTGAAGTTTGTAACCCAAATTAGTGCTGGTTAAAACAAAAACTCTCTTAGAAATTGCTGATTTAACACGTACTTGTGTTCGGTAGTAGAATGAGATGTATCCTAGATGATGTAGGCTAAATTAGTCGCACAATTAATTGAAGCAAAAGGTGGACAGTAAACATTTGAAATGAATGCTCATTGAGTGGACTCGATTTTCAAATCGATTAAATGATGACACAGCATGCCAAAATCTCAGCTGATTGGTGCGATAACTTCGTTTGATTCAAGCGCTTTAAGAAGGAGCCGCGCGTTATTCGATGTCTTGTTTTTAATTTAAAAAAAAGGATTTTCCTCTTTGCTGAGTACATTCCACTCCAAGGCACACGACCACCGATCCTGCTAAAGTGAGTTCATGGTAGCTGCATCCGATCAAAATTTTCTTTCATTAGAGGTAAAATATGTATTAATTCATAAGCCAAGAACTAAATTAACAAATTTGTATCTGTAAAAATTTGCGGGATTAATTGTTTGACCATGCACAGAATAATCTCATTGTTACTGGCCAATGTCTAAATGGCCATTCAATTTAAACAAAAACGAGGTGTTTAAATTCGATGAATAATCAGCTTCATTATGAAGAGCCTATCGTGTGCGTAACTTCAGCGTAATTTGCGGTCAGTCACTGATCACACAATTTTGGATCAAGGTAATGCACACGGTTGATTATCTTTCTTGGAGTCCTACGTCAATCCATGCTTGGTGCAGTCACTCTTGACACGCAGTGATGATCAAGCATACAACGCGGAATCTGTAAAATATTTAACTTCTGCGAATTGCGCAATCTTGGTAAATGTACAGCCCGTCTTGTCTTAGTAGTCCAGGCGACGCGCCAACACGATTTGCAAAAAAAATCGAACTATTCAGGCTGTAACTTCATGAGTGCAAGAATTAAAAACTAATGTCCACGCTCCAATATTTAATTTCTTCGTACCAACCTCAAATGCAGGAGCAGGTGGCAATTTATGGCGGCTCAAAACGTTTTTCGACCAACCAGTAAGACGAATGCAATGAAGCCGGAATGGCTTAGCGATGAAAATCGTGTGTTATTTCCATGGACGTCGGGAAAAATTGCACGACTGGTTGTGCTGGCGTTCATTTTACAAGGAAATCACGCACTGTCAGTTAACTAGACGGTTCGTAAAGCAAGCAAATCTGGCAATTTTTGCAAAATCCACACAAACAGAACCTTATTTTCATGAGTCAACAAAAAGAACCGACATAAATGAAAGTTGGGAGGGAAAAAGAAGCTCAAAGCAAGGAATGGGATGGCATTGCAGAATCTCTGAAAGGAGATAATTTGTCGTATCCAAAACAGTAGGCGTTATAAGTCTGGTAGGGTGGATTGCAGATGAGTTAGTTGAACGACCTCCTTCGACGTGGACAGACCGTAACTTCACAGATGTACTGGGAACAACTCGCCCAACGCAATGTTGAGAAACAAAGAGGGCGTTTTTGAGGACTAAACCGCTTCGTTCTTTGCAAAACAATTTGTGGAGTAAAATATTTTTTCATGTCTTTTTTAAAACCTCGCGTGATTTGGGGAAGCCACCATACGAAATTGTGGTGGCAGTTACAGCACTTAAATCCTGATTTGTTGTTGTACTTTCTTTGGTTTCAGAGCTAGCACGAGCGCTTGCTATCGCATTCTGAAAAAAAACATCAACCAATCGCGAATTTTTTTGAGAATTTAAGTAGCATAATTCAAAGAGAAAAAGAGGGCGATGTGAGGTGCATTT